CATGGAAAACTACCAAATCCGGCTTCATCGCCGCCAACGATTCTTCTCTGTGCTCCTATTTTTCCAATGGAAACTCCACATCCTGAATAAATAAGAATTTTTTTATTTATTAACCTTTGACCCCCTTTTGCTAAAATTTTCTAATTGATACGAAAAATTTAATTAAAATAAAAAAATTTTTTTTAAATTATTTATTACAGAGAATAAAAAAATTTTCCGGCATGCAAATAATATTAATACAAAAAAAAAATATTAATTACAGCAAAAAAAAACCCTTAGTAATTTTTTTTTTTTTAAATGTTAAAAAATTAATATAGCGAGCCAATTTTAAACGATAGCAAAAAAAAAAAAATTTTTTCCAAGTGAAACAGCAAAATAATTAAAAAAAGCAAAAAAAGAAACAAACGTGAATAATAATTTTTTTTTTCTTTTTTTTCCAAGACTCCATGGAAAATTTAATTTAATTAATTTTAACACTTTAATAATAAACATTTATTAAAATTAATTAAATTTTAACCAATAAAAGATATTTCTTTTTTGCGCTAATTCACAGAAACTATTAAAAAGTTATTTAAATTTAAATTCCGCATGAAAAGTTTTATATAAACTATAACAAAATGTATTTAATTTAACATTTAATTTTACATTTCGTCACTCGTTCCTTCTTCTTTCTTCTTCCTTTTCATTATTATTATTTTATATACGCACGCACGCACGCATACATGTTAGTTTCCGTAAAAAAATACACGTATTATTATCATTATTATCAAGAGCGTATACATACGCAATACAAAACTTTGAAACAATATCAAATTTTTTATTTAAATTATTTATATACAAAAACAAAACATTCAACTTTAATTACACCGTTTAAAAAACCTTACAAACAACAGTCGTGCAAATTATTATCGTACAAAAAAATCTACTCAACCAAACAAACAAACCAACAAACAAAAATATTTTACACCCTTTTATTTTTTTAAAAGTTTACAAAACAATTACAAAAAAAAAAAAAAACAAAAACAAAAAACATATTTTACGTACGTAATATTAATTTGTTAATAAATTTTTTTAATAATTTAATTCCTGGATAATATTTTAAAAAACATTCCTGTTACGCCCCCCTTTTTTTAATTCGTCATGCCCCTTTTGTGTTTTTGGGGGGGAAAAAAAAATTATTCACGTCGCATAACATAATAAATCCAAAATAATTACACAACATAACGATGAAAAAATAATATTTATAAGAAAATGCAATTTATAAAAATTTTTTTGTGTTTGTATAAAGATAATAATGATACAAGCAGCAGCAGGAGCAACAGCAACAGAAAAAGCCATGACAACAACGTTTACAAATAACATAACAAAAAAAAAAAAAAAGGAAAAGAAACGCCCCAAAAACCCAAACGAGCATCTGTACGTCTATTTTGTCATAGAGTAAAAAATGTCCGTTATAAATTAAATGTTTTTTCATTCGTCAATATATATTTATACATAAATAAATAAATAAATAAAATCGTAAAGCGATAGATAATCTACTAGAAAAAAAAATCTAATCTACTACTATTGCATTATGTATCTGTCTTTGTTTAACTGTCCTGTGACGAATTTTCAAGTCCAAAGTAAAGCGAAAACTTACTAAAATCGTTAACGACAGGACCGAAGTTAGTTGGTAAAGTAATGACGTCATTGGTCCGATGCTCGTTTGTTTTTGGTGCTTCTTTATCCGTTCGCTTGCAACAGGCGTAGAGGAACCCTCCACACGAGCCTTCAATTAATCCCGACGATATCCAACAAGATAAAAAAAATTCGCACCTTCCACTTCGACAAATCCCTTTGTCTTCCGTTTCCGTTTGTATCGTATCCCCTTTATGTTCTGTAAATACATACTATATATATATATATATATATTAAATTTTATATATATTTTCCTACCCGTGACCCTTTGGAGTTGTTTGCCGTTGTCTTATTTTTCCCCGATCCCTTAATTATAGTTAATTTATTCGCCACCCGTTTTATAGGTTAACCTTTCACCTTTTTTTTGCGTCTATTCTATAACATTAACTAAATTTAAAAGGAAAAAAAAGAAAAAACCTCGGTCTTCGTCATAGCCGATATCTTGCAAACGCAAAGAATCAGAAGGTGCTGATAGGGTACAGGTTCGAACAGGATCTCTAAAACTAATCTTGGACTTCTCGGTCTCATTGTAGGAACGTGTGAGTAATTTGATGGCCTCACGACAGGACTCCACGGAACGAATCCACTCGAATAACCTTGAAAAAAAAAAAAAATTTTTTTACTTTCTCCAGAAAATTCCATAACGAAAAAAAGAAAAACGGGGCAGAGTCCAAAAGTTTGTAAATAAATAAAAATAAAATCTTTAAATCTTTTTTTTTTTCCAGCCTTGAATTAAAAAAAAAAAAGAAATTTATGACAAACCTCCAGATAATGGGGGTCCGTGATATGGTCGGGAATGAAATTTTCCAGAAAATCTTCCACCGCCGCCACCCTCGCCTGGAGGAAATCTAACGTATCTCTTCTTTCTTCTCTTTCGCTTTTTTAATAAATAGTTTTGTGAAAAAGTATCGTTACGAATTTTCACTTTAATTTCGTATTCTTTAAAACTTTTTTCATTTTCCGATTTTTTATCATCACCTACCGTAACTACTACAACTCTTACGTCATCATTCGTTAACGTAGATGACGTTGCTGGTGATTGTTTTTCATAAACGTCATCATCGTAACCTCGTTCGTAAGGTTTTTTATATAAATTTATTATTTCGGATGAGAACACATCCGACGAAATATTTTTTTTTTTACCGTTTTCTATAAATAAATTTAAATTTACATTATTATTATTATTATTAATATTAATATTATTCAAATCCGTTTTAATATCTTGTTGTACACTTCCAATGGTAACGTTAATTGTATTTAATATAAATGCAAATGTTATAAATAATTTAATTGATATAATTTTATTAAAATTTTTTTGGGAGGCGCCCCCATGGGTCGTAAATGTTAATAATTTTCTTCTGCATGGTTTCTTGTGATTTTCTTGTCGTTGTTCCTCCTCCTTATCCGCTCTGCAAACAAAAAAAATCACTTATTAGGTAATTATTATTATTATTATTGTCGTCAACTTTGATTTTATTACTCGTTTTTACGTATTCTAATTCTATTCTTTTTTTTTTTTTGTTGTTAATCTTTGTAACAGTTTCGACATTTTAACCTTGTAATACTTGATGCGTTTGTTTTGTGTGTGTAATAATAATAATAATAATAATCATCGATGATTTACGACTTTCTATTTAAATTTATTATTATTATTATTATTATTATTATTATTATTATTATAAATAATAATAATTTATTTTAAATAAATTATGTATTTAAAATTCGATTTATTTACTGGAGAGGGGGAGGAGGGAAATAATAATTAATATTACGTAAATATTTATTATCATTTAAAAAATTTAAAGTAAGGAAAAAATTACATAGGAAAAAAATTTAAATTTTGCAATTGGCTACCCTGAATATTATTATTATTATTATTTTATAACAAAAAAAAAAACAAATTTTTATTTATTGCAAAAACGTTTTGTGTTCTTTTGTTTGTTTTTGTTTTATTTTTTTACTAGGACAAAAACGATTGCAAAAAAAAAATTTTTTTTAAATTCAAATCTTTTTACAAAGTAATTTTTTTTTGTGTTTGTTTGTTACAAAATAAAATGTTTTTTTTGTTTGTTTGTACGACGACAATCGTAAAAATTGATTAATTTCAATTACAAAATAAAATGATAATTAAATTTTATGAAAATAATTTTTTTTTTACTCAATCGTTTTTTTTCCTTTTTAAATACATAATAATTATTTTTTTTTCTAACTTGTTCCGGTGTTTAAAAAAATATTTTGTAATTTTTAATAATAATAATAGTAATAATAGCAGACGATGTCTGTATAATCAAAAGTTTGTGGTTAAAAAAAAAAAAAATTCATGATTGCGAAAATAATAAATAAATTCATATTCGATTTCGATAAAAATTACAAACTGCTCTTTACGACCAGTTAAATAAAAAAAAAAAAAATTACATTTAAAATGATTGAATGGCCTAATTGAGTGAAAGTAAATTATCATCATCATCATCATCATCATCATCATTATTATTATTATTAAATGGAATGTCTCACGTGTGAGTTTTACCATTGAATTATTAAATGAAAGTTATTTCATGGACCATGTACTACCAAGAGAGAATGACAATAATAATAATAAATTTGTGATTTTCAACGTTTTAAATAACGAATAAATAAATATTAATAATAATAATAATGATAATGATAATAATTCACATAATAAAAATATACATTTAAATAGTGTTCGTGTGCAATTTATCCAAACGGAAGCTCATCAAACCGTTCAAATCCCAATTAAAAGAAAAAAATATTTTTCTCATAATCAATTAAATTATTATTATTATTATTACAATAAGTTAAATACTCTCAATACGTCACAATATTGTCATATGTAATTTTATCATTTATTTATTTATTTATTTATTTATTATTAACATCATCATAATCCGAAAAATGTTTTATTATTTTATTTATTCAAATCGGTTGCATAATTTTTTTTTTTTTTTTTACGTTCTGATTATGATGATGATAATAATAATAATAATAATAATAATAATAAATATTATTATTATTTAATAAATAAATAAATGTCGCGATAATTAACATTTTATTATGTATACGTTTTTTTTTTTTATTCGCGATTAAAATCGTAAATTTAATTATGGGAAAATGAAAAAAAATTATTATTATTATTATTATTATTATTATAACGAGTTAAGTGGTGAGAGAGAGAGAGAGAGGGAGGGAGGAAGAGGGAAAGGGGGAGAGAGAGAGATCTAATTAAATTAACTTTAATTATTATGTAAAAAAAAAAAAAGTAAAAAGTATGACAACTTTTTTTATTGTATCGAAGTGAATTTTTTTACTTTTCTGTGTCCCCCACCCCCCACCCCCCTTTGTGTAAGTGCTAAGACGGTGAGTAATAAATTTTTTTAATTCGTGCCACGATTTTTTTTTTTTACTGTTGCATAATAAACCTGTTGTAATTGTATTGTTTTTATGTGTGACGTAAAAGAAAAAAAAAATTTCCCTCGAACGTTCTTATTTTCCTTTTGAAAAAAATTTTTCCTCCTTCTTTACTATTGTATAAGTAATTTAATAAGAATTTTTTTTTTAAATTGCGTCAAATTTTTCTTCTTTTTTTTATATAATAATAATAATTGTTTTGTATCAAAAACGACGACATTTGAACTCGAATCCCACCCCACTTTCCCACCCTCCCCCCCAGAGAAAAAAAAAAAACAAAACCGGACTCAAATAACAAATAAAACGAAAAAGAAAATTTCCCAGGTATTGTCAAAACATCTTTTTAAAAGTTTTATGAACTTAAACAAAAATCAAGTCAAAGGTCAAATAATTTTATTTAACTTTTATTATTATTATTATTTGGACAACTCAAAACAAATAGTATTATTATTATTATTGTTACTTCGTGTTTGTTTATATCATTATCATTATTATTATTGTTTGTTTTTTACTTTATTATTAGTTTTAGAAACGCGGAAGAATTTTCTTCATTGTTTTCTTTTTTTTTTACCTTCTTCGTGACTGACTCCCCAAAAAATTAAAAAAAAAACCGATAAAAAAGTTTAAATTTATTTATTTTTTTTTGAAAACATGTTCTTCCTACTCTTTCTCCATCTTTTTCTTTTCTTTTCTTTTCTTTTTCCTTTGAGAAAATTCATGACATAAAAAAAGAAACTCTCACCGTCGACGACGATGACGACGACGACGACGGTATATTGACTTGTTCTTATGTAAACATTTTATTAAAAAAAAAAAAATTTGGCACAAAAAACCTTTTTCGGTAAATGTTACGCCCTTCTTTTCAATCACCTCTTCCTCCCCCTCCCCACCCGAGGCTCCCTCTTAAAAGTTTTCTATTTAAACTTCTTCCTGTTTGCGAATTTTTTTTTTTTTGTAAACTAATCGATATTACATATATACTTTTTTTTACGTAAATAAAACTTCAAATCATTTTAATAAATTAATTTTTGCGGGGAGGAGGGAGAGAGGGAGGGAGGGGGAGTAATAATCATTACGTAATAAATACGGCAAATACAAATCGAATAATAATAAAATTTTAACGAGTCAACAAATTAAATATTTAATTGTAAAATTACATTAAAAAAAAAAAAAAAA